CTACTACTACTAACGACTACTGCAGAAACAGAGATACTGCAGTACTACTACTACTACTACTACTACTACTACTACTATTACTACTGCAAACAGAGATACTGCAGTACTACTACTACTACTAATGCAGAAACAGAGATACTGCAGTACTACTACTACTACTACTACTACTACTACTACTACTGCGAACAGAGAGATACTGCAGTACTACTACTACTACTGCACAGAGAGGACCAAAGACGAGTTGTGATATTACACAAAAATAATTCTTGTGAGGTTTATGTGTTTCTCTTTCCAACCTCTATTCAACCTTTAATGGTGAAAATAAAGAGTGTTTTTATTTTCATTGTGGTTTCAGAATCGGTATCAAAATCTTGTGTATGAAATTTTAATATCGTGGCAACGCTGAGAAACCGAGAGAGTCTGTTTATATGTTATTCTGTATTACAGCTAGAAACAACTTTTATTTTTGTTACTGACCCACAGAGTCAGTGGTGTTTTACTCACAGAGCGTTTTGCAAAGGCAGCGCTAAAACGAGAGTCATAGACAAAGTGGTTTTATTTGTTCAGAATGCAGTCGTCTGATTGTCTGAGCTTGTGCCCAGTTTCAGTTCAGGGTGAGAGAAACTGTGCCAAAGGTCTGTGTGTGCAAAGGGTGAGGCCGAGTCAGGTCTCTGCACCGTGAAAATCAGATACTCCAGTTTTAAGGTGGACAAAAGTAGCTAGAGTAATATACTAGAGGCTATATTACTCTATTTTTATATATCTGTGTTTTAATGTTGTTTGATCTTCAGGCTGTGTTCTTTTTTTAAACTGTAAATTCTTTGTTCCTCGTGCTCTGAAACAGGAAGGGCCTTTTAGCCTCATTTAAACTGTTTCAGTGGCGCATTTAGAAATAGAAAGTCTCTAATGACTCATGTCTCAACTGTACCAAAGGTCTCTCAACGCAATTAAAAAAGAAAAAAAAAAGCAACAGTTTGAGTTTTTTTTCTGGTGAGATATAGAATAATGTCATGACATCAGAGATCAGAGCATTTTGAGCTTTGGGGATGTAGACAGACTAATATCAGATGTATCAGAGCAGACTCTCTAGGACAGATGTGAAATATCAGACTCTCTAGGACAGATGTGAAATATCAGACTCTAAAGGACAGATGCGCTTTGAGCCTTGAAGGTGGAAAAGCGCTATTACCATTACTATTACCATTTATAAGACTCTAAAGGACAGATGTGACCTATCAGACTCTGTAGGACAGATGTGACCTGTCAGACTCTAAAGGACAGATGTGACCTATAATATGGGCGGCAGTAGCTCAGTTGGTGGAGCATTCGCCCACTGATCTAAAGGTTGGCGGTTCGAATCCAGCTCTCGACATAAACATCACAGGTTGAGCGGTCAGATCCACTGACCCACAGGTTGGCTTGTGTGATTCCAGCTCCCACAGATGAATGCAAGACACTTAACCCACCTTGCCCACAGTGTCTGCGTACACTGGTGTGTGAATGTGTGTGTAAATGGGTGAGTGGTTCCTTGTTGTAAAGCGCTTTGACCCTTGAAGGTGGAAAAGCGCTATAGAAAAATGTGACCATTTACCATTTATAAGACTCTAAAGGACAGATCTATTAGACTCTGTAGGACAGATGTGACCTATCAGACTCTGTAGGACAGATGTGACCTATCAGACTCTGTAGGACAGATGTGACCTATCAGACTCTGTAGGACAGATGTGACTGATCAGATTCTAGGACAGATGTGAAATATCAGACTCTAGGGCAGATGTGACCTGTCAGACTCTTTAGGACAGATGTGAAATATTAGTCTCTTTAGGACAGATGTATCACACTCTTTAGGACAGATGTGAGGTGTTAGACTCTTTAGGACAGATGTGAAGTGTCAGACTCTAGGACAGATGTGACCTATCAGACTCTTTAGGACAGATGTGACCTGTCAGACTCTTTAGGACAGATGTGAAATATTAGTCTCTTTAGGACAGATGTATCACACTCTTTAGGACAGATGTGAGGTGTCAGACTCTTTAGGACAGATGTGAAGTGTCAGACTCTAGGACAGATGTGACCTGTCAGACTCTTTAGGACAGATGTGACCTGTCAGACTCTTTAGGACAGATGTGAAATATTAGTCTCTTTAGGACAGATGTATCACACTCTTTAGGACAGATGTGAGGTGTCAGACTCTTTAGGACAGATGTGAGGTGTCAGACTCTTTAGGACAGATGTGAAGTGTCAGACTCTAGGACAGATGTGAGGTGTCAGACTCTTTAGGACAGATGTGAGGTGTCAGACTCTAGGACAGATGTGACCTTTCAGACTCTTTAGGACAGATGTGAGGTGGTCTTACTTGTCTCGTACGGCCTGGATGGCCTCGGCGGCGCTCTCGTAGTTGTGTTTCTCCATGTGTCGGTACATGGTGCTCAGCTCCACCTGCCTCCGGAAGTAAATGTCCACTGAGCTCTGCTTCACTGTGGCGTAGATGAACTTATCCGAGGGGTTTCTCAGCTGGAAAATCAGCAACGGAAAATTAACGACAAAATAGAAAATAAGAGACAAAATAGAAAATTAGAGAAAAAATAGAGAGTCAGTGGGCCACACATTTCTCATGTCGGGTTAGGAGTGGACTGAGGGAGTGTGATGTCATTCCACTGTTCTGTGTCATTTGGTCCAAAGCAAGAAAAATATCTGACGAAGGCGTTTTTTGCCGTAATTTAAAAATAAAAAAAACGTTTGCACATCGGCCATCTGAGTGTGCTATGCATTTTTTCACTTGTGTCATCCCACAAATAGACCAATGAAAACTGAGTGCCACAAATTGATTCTGCCTCTTTATTTTTCTTTCAGTGCCTCCTTTTTTTTTTTTCTTTCAGCGTGATTCTATCATTCTCGCTCACAGAGAGAGACAGAGAGAAAGATGACATACATGTCAGTGGGGGTACACTTATATAAAACACTTGCACTATTTGCTCTCTCTGCCCACGGTTCGGCGTTGGGATGGGAAACTGTTTCTCCAGCCTCTGGGAACGGGACCCCGAGTGGAGCAGTGTGTCCTCAAAGTGTGATCGGGCGACGGCTGCACTTAGCCCCGTGGAGCACGGAGCTCTGCGACGGTCCTTTTGCCTGTGGTCACCCGACGATCTAAGTGGGCCCGTCCCAACACTCGGAACCGTAATGAATGGGCAAGAACCCGAAGAGGTCCCTTATGATCGGGCACTGGAGTTATTTTTCAGAAAGCCTCGTAAGTTCTGAGAGGACATGCATATGCAAAGAGATCTAGACATGTAACCATAACCAAAAAATATTGTGATATCGTATCATCAAAAGTCTCAATAATATCAAGAGCTGTCACAATATCTCAAATCACAAGTTTCTTTGCTTAAATGCAGGTTAGAAGAACCAGCTTATTAACAGCTTATTAACATCGAACTAAACTACATTTCCCATGATTCATTTCAGCGCAGACAACATGAAGAAATATGTTTTTTACTTGAATTCATGGGATTATGACGGAAATAATTCACACCAAAATCTTATCAAGGTATTTTAAAAGCAAAAAATTGTTCCATTTACAATTATATCAGCCTCTGTAAAAATATCGCAATAAATATCGTACCAAGAGATTTGGATATCGATATTTTTGGAACTCAGAGCGTTTCTCCAGTGTGTCTCCAGTCAAATGAAGCTAAGCGAGGCTTGAAGTTACGGGGCAGAATGTGGAGCCAAATTCCAAATTAGGAATAGGGATTAATTTATGGACAAAACAGGAAAATAAAAACACCAAGACTGTGAAGAGCGAGTTAATATGAACATTTTAAGACTAAAATAACGAGATGCAAAGTGAACTGGAGCCGGACTCAATGAAGCCAGAAGCGTGAACACGATCACTTCTTATTTGGAAAGCGGCGGTTTAATGTCACACTGTGGAACATTCTAGGCAGAGCAACGACATCTCCATAGAAACAAGCACCTCCCAAGTGAAAAAGTTATACAGTACAGTTTTAAAGCTGAACTGCTTTTGTGTAAACGAGTGTGTTTTCCCCCTGAGAGTCGTCTGTCGTGTAAAAACAGACTCAGTGACAAAATGAGGCCGCTCCACACGGTTTGTTGCTAATAATAACAGCATGTTTTTATTTCTTCCAAACCCGACGCCCTGATTGGCTGAGCTCAGTCCACCCCAGTTTCACTTTCACGTCTGAAAAAAGCTGTTGTGATTCTGCTCGAGGGTTTGTGGGAGCATAAAGGACCCAGATTATATTATTTTCTCATCTCTGTTCTAATCTAGAACTTTTAAATACATATTTCCTCCTTTTGTTGTGTAGCTCAGCCCTAGTGAACTCTTTTTACATTAGTTGTACCGTCGAAAATCCTCAGTATTTTCAGTCCAAAGACGTATATTTATATTTTAGGAACAGGACAAGATTCAATTTCCACAAGACGAGACAATGTACGAGATTTGGGTCCACAACAACGAGACAAGATGAGATTTTGACATGATTTCTCATATATAAATTCTGCGATTCAGTTTCTAATTTTAACCTTACATTTTCATCACCATTGATTTTATATTTTTGTTTCCATTCTAGCTTTGCTTTTTGGAGCTGTAAGAGATATAACTCACCAATATATAACTCCTTTTTGTTCAGTCCAAATGCAAACACTTGAAAAAAAAAAATCTCACAAGATCATTTTTCTTATGTGTGCACGATCTTGTCTCACAATTTTGTCTCGCAAGATCTTGTGGTGCGAGATCTTGTCATGCGAGATCTTGTGGCAAATTTGTCTCGCGAGATCTTGTGGTTGCGAGATCTTCTCTTGTCATGCGAGATCTTGTGGCAAATTTGTCTCGCGAGATCTTGTGGTGCGAGATCTTGTGGCAGTTTTGTTTCATGGGATCTTGAGGCAAATTTGTCTCGCAAGATCTTGTGGCAAATTTGTCTCGCAAGATCTTGAGGCAAATTTGTCTTGCGAGATCTTGTGGATTGAGATCTTGTGATGCGAGATCTTGTGGCAAATTTGTCTCACAAGATCTTGTGGCGCGAGATCTTGTGGCAGTTTTGTTTCATGGGATCTTGTGGCAAATTTGTTTCGCAAGATCTTGTGGCAAATTTGTCTCGTGAGATCTTGTGGATTGAGATCTTGTGATGTGAGATCTTGTGGCGCGAGATCTTGTGATGTGAGATCTTGTGGCAATTTTGTCTCGCAAGATCTTGAGGCAAATTTGTCTCGCGAGATCTTGTGGTGCGAGATCTTGTGGCAGTTTTGTCTCACGAGATCTTGTGGCAAATTTGTCTCACGAGATCTTGTGGCGCGAGATCTTGTGGGGCAAGATCTGGTCCCACCCTCAGCATATTTCCCTGAGACTGACCCTGGGGTCGTTGATGCCAGTGATGCGCTCCTCAGGCCGGTCCAGCACCAGGAAGGCAGCGAGGTTGGCAGTATACGAGGCTACGATGATCATAGCGAAACCTGCCCACACCATTCCCAGGATACGCGCCGAGAAACTGCGTGGCGCTCCTGCAAAACACAAACACCCGTCATTTTAAACATTCAGTTTATACTTTAACCTCTACAGACCTCCCAGCAGGAACCTCCAAACCCCTATGAGCACCTCCAAACCCCAGCGTGAACCTTCAAACTCCATCCTTTTTGAGAGATGGAGAGAAATGCCCAGACAGACTTTTATTATAGTTCCTCAGACGTTTCTGACACTTTTTACTCTGTCACAGTCTACGAGCTCGGTCATCTTCACCGTCTGTCAGCTTTTGAGTCTTGTCCTGGAGGAGCAGCTGTTCTGGATTTTAAACTAAGATACTATGTTTCTACTAAGGAGGCAATGATACTCAATATAATATCAAATCGTTTGATCGTTTGGTCTCACGATTCGATACACATGTTCCTCCAGGCCTCTGTGTGTCATTTATTCTGGTCCAAAGAGAAACAGTTCTCAGATGCAGCAGAAAACAGCTCCACAGGGACTTACAGCTGAAATATTCTAACAGAGGAGGGTTTGATCTTTCACTCACTTTTTATTTTACATTGATAGACCAAGGAATGACAAAGAGATTCACTTTTAAATACTTTAGAATCACGTTTAGCTTTACATTGGCTTTAATTAAATGTGCAAGTATTTACACCTGCGACGCAACTCGTGATAGAAGTGATCTTTTTCTCACAGGTTTTACTCAGAAAACGTTCTGTTGAGACATTTCTATGTAATATAACACAGTTTTATTGTTCAGAAAGTAGAAGTTAGAGTTCAGTGTGTGTAAAAAGAGCAGGTGAGTGTGTGAGGAGCTGCTGTCTGTCTCTGCTGCTGCTGGAGACCGACACACGAGTCTGTGTGAACACAACGAGACCGGAGACACACTCAGGAGGAACAGAAAAGAAATCATCAAATCATCATCAAAAGGAAAAGTCTGATAGTGTCTCTCCTCTACAGCCTTTGTGAAGAGTCGACTGGTTTATTATAAAATATAAAACAGCCTGAGAAACTCTGCTCTGATTTTCACTGAATAAAAAATCTGAAGAACTGTAAATCAATGAACCAAATGAACAAAAACATTTCACATATAAACTCCAGCTGTGTGTTGTGTAATGTTTCATTATATTATAGTGTTATTATATTAAACTCATTAGCAGAAAAAATTACACAAGTTTTTTTTTTGCGTCTTAAAATCAAAACAAATCGATATCGTGACTGTGTATCAAGATACGAAATCGTGGCAAAACCGCATCGTTGCATCTCTAATTTCTACTTCTACTGCTGCTGCTGTTACACTAAGATCCCCTGAAGCTCTCACTTCTTCTGTGTTTTTAAACTTTATTGGCAGATCTTTTTTCTTGTCAAGTGACATTTACTCAAGTCCCAATAAAACTTTCTTCATTCGAGTCATCCGAACTTGACTAGGTTTTTTTTTGTTGCAGTGTTCTGTCTTATACTGTGTGGTGTTGGTTCCCCGCAGACACTGACCTTCTCCAATACCGGAGTTCAGCAGTACTCCCCAGGAAAACCACATGGCCGAGGAGAGGGTCAGAGCGTCCTCCTCCTCCTCCTCGCTGTTTACTTTGAACCTTCCAAACGGGCTGGAAACACAATGACATTATAATGATAAAACGAAAAAATATATCACACAAAACTGACTCTTGTGAGGGTTAAGTCGTGTTCTAATGTTGTTCTTTCCTCAAAAACAGACCTGGAGTTGTGTTTTGTTTCATTCACACATGTCTGAGTATTAGTCTGTTTACATGTTAGTGTTCCCCAAAGAACATTTGGACTTAGACCCTCTTGACTCCCCCAAAAAACACTGTCTTGTACCTTGCACTTTATGCTTTTTGCACTTTTGCACTATTTACATTTGGCTCATTCACACAATTTTGTTTCTTTACATATTTTTTTTATGAACAACTGACAATAAACTTTTTTGAACTTTGAACATCTCCAAAGCTCAAAACGCTCTGTTCCACCTTGTGATGTCATGAAGTGGAAGTTTTCAAGTGAGCAGCTCCTTTTACCTTTAGTTCAACACTCCACAATCCGTGTGTCATTCGTTCATTCGTTTTTCAAAATAAAACCTAAAATAAGAAAACAAAAAAACAACTATTTTCTTCATTATTTGTCTCCAAAATCAAAAAACTCAATTTTGTGTTTAAATGAAAAAAAAAAACGGAAAACGGACTGAAACAGGACTAAACCAGGACTAAACTGTTTTCAGTCCTGATCTGGTCCTGGTCTCAGTCCTGGTCTCTCAGTCCCAGTTTCAGTCCCGGTCTCAGTCCTGCTCTGGTTCTGGTCTGGTCTGGACCTGGTTTCAGTCCTGGTTCAGTCTGTTATCAGTTTTTTCCATTTTTCATTTAAACACAAAATCAAAAAGTGAAAAACCGAATCATGATCTGTTTTTTTCATTTTGGATTTGGAGACAAATAATGAAGAAAATAGTTGTTTTTTTAATTTTCTTATTTTTGGTTTTATTTTGAAAAACGAATCACTGAATGACACACGGATTCTCCAGGTCTGTTTGTGACGAGGAAACGACATTAGAACGTTAGAAAATAGTGCTCTTTAAATCAGTACAACAATTCAGATTTAATAAACACACAAATTGAACAGTTGACAGATGAGGTCAAAGGTCAGATACACAGAGATGTCGTGAGGTGATGTGGACTGACCGCTCGGTTCAGCTGTGAGTTTGTGACGAGATGGAGTCTGGAGCGTGAGGAGGACGAGGAGGAGGAGGAGGAGGAGGAGGAGGAGGAGGGAGCTCCAGGACGAGGCTCTGGAGACGGACACATGGACACGTGGACACGTGGACACACCAGATGGTCATGTCATGGCAAAAACGACACTTCAATGAACCACAGTGAGCAGATGAATGTAACAGTCTAATATTTAAAGGTGCACTGTGTAACTTTTCGGTTGAGGGTCCGTCACCTGCTTGTTGTTTCTGCCTGGAATGTTCCACAGTGTGACTTTAAACAGCTCGACTCTACATTTATTCAATTACAGATGGTTTTAAAGCTCAAAAATATATAAAAAACGGACATTGTGACTGTGAGCGGGGTCGCCTCTCCACAGATCTGACCTGTAACTTCATCAGGTTTGGTCTGCATGAAGATAGAAAGGTTTAATGCCACACTGTGAAACATTCCAGACCAGACCTGGGACACATACCACCCTTTTGTTTGACTCTGATCGGCTCGTTTAAGCTCATTTGGAATTACAAAATAAACAAATTTAAAATTTTACCTCATGCCTGGACTAAAGCTGCATTGCTTTTATTTATTTATTTATTTTTGTAACCTCACTTTTTTATCGCTTAGTCAGAACATAAACTCTTCCCAGTCTGAGATATTTACTGCTTTTTATAAAGATATACAATTACCGTATTTTTCAGACTATAAGTGTCACTTTTTTTCATGGTTTGTGTGTTTCCTGTGACTTCTATATTAAAATGTTTTTGGTGAAGTGTGGAGAGGTTCTAGTCTTGTGTGTGAGGATCTGCTGCTCCTGTTCCTCCTGCACCACTGTCACTTGGCTCTACTGCACATGTCTCCTGCAGAAAGAGCCTCTGTTCTGTCTGTATCATGTCAGTCGATCGCACTGTTACTTTTGCACCACTCGACTATTTAACATTTAAACTTTAAACTTATAAAGACAAAGACTGAGAAAACTGAACACAAACGCCCCGAAAAACAAAATCAGATTCTGCAGATTTACAAACTGCAAGTCATGAAATCTGCAGCTGAAAACAGAAATCGAGCAGCAGAAAGAAAGTTTGGAGTGAGAGAGAAACTTGTGACACCGGGAGGATGAACCATGAAACTTTCCTGAAGTCACTGGATGGATGGACAAAGTCTGGACTTCAGTGACACTGAAACCATCCTGTCGAGATTCAGAAAGACCCGAATAATTCTGTAAATATAACCAGGTCTAGCCCCCGTCTAAACCAAGGTCTGAACAAGGTCTAACCAAGGTCTAAACAAGGTCTAAACCAGGTCTGAACCGGAAGCTGTCCTAAACCAAGTCTAGGTCTAACTGAGGTCTAAACCAGGTCTAACCATAATCAGAATCAGGACCTGGATTAAACCAAGTCAAAGCCAGATCTAAACTAGGTCTAACCAAGATCTAATCCAGGTTTAAACCAGGTTTAACCCGAGATCTAACCCAAGGTCTAAACCAAGGTCCTTCAGTGACACCAAAACCATCCTGTCGGGATTCAGAAAGAATCCGTGTGTCGTTCATTCATTTGTTTTTCAAAATAAAACCAAAAATAAGAAAACAAAAAAACAACTATTTTCTTCGTTATTTGTCTCTAAAACCAAAATGAAAAAACAGATAATGATTCATTTTTTTCAGTTTTTGATTTTGTCTGAATAATGGAAAAAACAGATAATGGCCTGAACCAGGTCTAAACCAGGACTGAAACAGGTGCGGGACCAGACTGGAACCAGACCGAGACTGAAAACGGTTCAGTCCTGGTTCAGTCCGTTTTCTGTTTTTTCCATTTTTCATTTAAACACAAAATCAAAAATTGAAAAAAAACGAATCATTATCTGTTTTTTTCATTTTGGTTTTTGAGACAAATAATGAAGAAAACGGTTGTTCTTTCATTTTCTTATTTTTTGTTTTATATTGAAAAATGAATGAACGAATGACACACGGATTCGTTCAGGTCAGAATAATTCAAACTGACTTCTAAGGTCGAGGTCGAGTTGTTCAGAAGTGACACCGAGGATGAAGAATTGAATGGATTTAGTGATTTGGAGTGAGATGGAGAGTTTGTTAAACTTGTTCTGTTCTGTTTTTTATGTTATAGTTTATCTGAAGAACTGTGAAATATGTGACGTTAACAGTCTGTTGTTCTCTCTTCTATTGTTTTTACTACAACTTGACTTGATTTTATAAATAAATTTCCCCCAAAAAGTGCAACTTTTTTTATTCTTCATTACACATTTTTTGGCCGGTGCGACTTATACTCCAGAAAATACGGTAATATTTTGCAGAATTGAGTTAAATATTTTGGCCTCCACAATATTTTGTGTTTCTCATATGGCCCCATGGAAGAAATAATCGCTCAGTCCTGTTCCAGACAAAGGAAAAACATCTACATGGAGTAAAGTGTGTGACAAACCCTCCAACAGAAAAGTTACACAATGCAGCTTTAAATCAGATGTATCAAACAGTAGATGTTTCATTATTATTTCTGATATTTCCTCCGTCGTGTCGGTGCGTTTACCTGAATCGGTCTAGTAGGTAAAGCATCACTGCCACCACGTGAACCGAGAGCCCCACTAACAACCACAGTGTGCTCTGGAACGGCTGCATGAACGAGTCCAGCGTGCTGCGGGGGATCTCCTGCAACCAATCACAGAGCAGACGGTCAGACATGTGACACACAGGACATCCAATCACAGAGCAGACGGTCAGACATGTGACACACAGGACATCCAATCACAGAGCAGACGGTCAGACATGTGACACACAGGACATCCAATCACAGAGCAGACGGTCAGACATGTGACACACAGGACATCCAATCACAGAGCAGACGGTCAGACATGTGACACACAGGACATCCAATCACAGAGCAGAGTCAGACATGTGACACACAGGACATCCAATCACAGAGCAGACGGTCAGACATGTGACACACAGGACATCCAATCACAGAGCAGACGGTCAGACATGTGACACACAGGACATCCAATCACAGAGCAGAGTCAGACATGTGACACACAGGACATCCAATCACAGAGCAGAGGGTCAGACATGTGACACACAGGACATCCAATCACAGAGCAGAGTCAGACATGTGACACACAGGACATCCAATCACAGAGCAGAGGGTCAGACATGTGACACACAGGACATCCAATCACAGAGCAGAGGGTCAGACATGTGACACACAGGACATCCAATCACAGAGCAGAGTCAGACATGTGACACACAGGACATCCAATCACAGAGCAGAGGGTCAGACATGTGACACACAGGACATCCAATCACAGAGCAGAGGGTCAGGCCTCAGGTGTCAGACGCCAGAGTTAAAAAATCTGAAATTTGTCAAATTTCCCCATGCACCAATGAGTTTCAAGCATCTGCCTCACATGAAGCGGCGTCAGACCAGAGCCATGCTGCGTGTTTTTGACGCCGCCGTCTGAACACAGCAAAAAGCTCAGTCCAAGTGCCTGTGTTAAACTGTGTCCAGACTATATAAACAAGTGGACTAAGTGAGTGTGACGTCACCCACAGCGTTCAGCGATACTCAAATTCTGCTAATACAACATTCTGAATAGGGCTGTGACAATAACCGCAAAAATAAATCACAGCGGTACTAAGAGGCTCAGCGTGATCACTGCCCGGTAACCCACGTGACCCGAACCTGCACGGGGCCATTTTTAGAGACGAGCGCCCGCCTGGACCCGTAAACATTCCATCTGTTACCACCCGTGCCCGTGATAACCCAAGACTAACCCTGGACTAACCCTGGACTAACCCTGGACTAACCCTGGACTAACCCAAGACTAACCCTGGACTAACCCTGGACTAACCCAAGACTAACCCAAGACTAACCCTGGACTAACCCAAGACTAACCCTGGACTAACCCTGGACTAACCCAAGACTAACCCTAGACTAACCCTGGACTAACCCTGGACTAACCCAAGACTAACCCTGGACTAACCCTGGACTAACCCTGGACTAACCCAAGACTAACCTGGACTAACCCTGGACTAACCCTGGACTAACCCTGGACTAACCCAAGACTAACCCTGGACTAACCCTGGACTAACCCTGGACTAACCCTGGACTAACCCAAGACTAACCCTGGACTAACCCTGGACTAACCCTGGACTAACCCAAGACTAACCCTGGACTAACCCAAGACTAACCCAAGACTAACCCTGGACTAACCTGGACTAACCCAGACTAACCCTGGACTAACCCTGGACTAACCCAAGGACTAACCCTGGACTAACCCTGGACTAACCCTGGACTAACCCTGGACTAACCCAAGACTAACCCTGGACTAACCCTGGACTAACCCTGGACTAACCCAAGACTAACCCTGGACTAACCCTGGACTAACCCAAGACTAACCCTGGACTAACCCTAAGACTAACCCTGGACTAACCCAAGACTAACCCTGGACTAACCCAAGACTAACCCAGGACTAACCCAAGACTAACCCTGGACTAACCCTAGACTAACCCAGACTAACCCAAGACTAACCAAGGACTAACCCAGGACTAAGGTGTGTCCGTGTAAACTGTCAGGACTGGTGTAAAACTCTGTGTCGCACGGAGGTAAGTGCAGCGGTCGCCCGATCACGCTTTGTGGACACCTGCTCCACATGCTCATGCTCAGTCCGCGGGTACACGACCTGGTGCAGGATTCTGACCCGACCTGGTGCAGGATTCTGACCAGAGCTGCCACAGTGAGAGCTGGAGAGAGATGCAGCGGCACTTGTTCCTAACCCAAATGTTACTCCTCCCACACTATGTTTAGTCCTGCTTTAGACCTGGTTAAGTCCTGCTTTAGACCTGGTTCAATCATAGTCCAATCCTGGTTCAGTCCTGGTATAGTCCTGGCAATCGGCGTGTATATATTTATACTCTGCTAATGCTTTTGGCTTCCCACTCCAGTTCCCGGGCCTTTCTCTTTCTTCTCCTTCTTCCGGATAATAACGTCTCTACGTCACTGGACAGTCGTACCTGATGCCTGAAGACGCGCCGCAAAAATCCAGGACGCCCTAAAAACTGTCCATACAGACTTTGCTCCGATCTGAACGCACGGTTATAACAAGGTCATCAAAAACAGAGCTGGAGTTGTGTTTTGTTTCATTCACATGCTTGAGTAACTCTTTATTATGAGTCTGTCTACATTTCCAAAGCTCAAAAATGTTCTGTTCCACCTTGTGATGTCATGATGTCACATGTGTACCTTCTTGACGAGGATGGTGAGGCCCTGGTACTTGAAGGGTTTGGAGAACTCGATGTACTGCGCTCTCTCGTTGTTGATGGTGAGAGGAGCCACGATCATGTCGGCCAGCCCCCCGAGCAGCTCTCCCATCATGCCGTTCCACTCCTTCTTATTACTGTTATTCACCTGCGCAGACACGCAAACACAGACGACAAATGTCAAAAAAAGACAAAAGACAACAAAAGACAAAAGACAACAAAAGACAACAAAAGACAACAAAAGAAACAAAAACAACAAAAGTGAAACAACAAAAGACAACAAAAGACAACAAAAGTCAAAAGACAACAGAAGTCAACAAAAAACCAACAAAAGACAACAAAAGTGAAACAAAAGACAACAAAAGTGAAACAAAAGACAACAAAAGTGAAACAAAAGTGAAAACAAAAAGACAACAAAAGTACAACAACAAAATTCAGCAAAAGTAAAAAAAAGACAACAAAAGTCAACAAACAAAAGTCAAAAGTCAACAAAAGACAACAAAAGTCAACAAAAAACAACAAAAGACAACAAAAGTGAAACAAAAAGAAACAAAAGACAACAAAAGTGAAACAAAAGTGAAACAAAAGACGACAAAAGTCAACAAAATTCAGCAAAAGTTAAAAAAAAAGACAACAAAAGTCAACAAAAGTCAACAGAAGTCAACAAAAAACAACAAAAGACAACAAAAGTGAAACAAAAGACAAAAGTCAACAAAAGTCAACAAAAGACAACAAAAAAGACAACAAAAAACAAAAGTCAACAAAAGTGAAACAAAAGTCAACAAAAGACAACAAAATTCAACAAAAGACAACAAAAGACAAAAAAAGTCAACAAAAGTGAAACAAAAGTCAACAAAAGACAACAAAATTCAACAAAAACAAAAGTCAACAAAAGTGAAACAAAAGTCAACAAAAGACAACAAAAGTGAAACAAAAGTCAACAAAAACGACAAAAGACAACAAAATTCAGCAAAAGTCAACAAAAGTGAAACAAAAGACAACAAAAGTCAACAAAAGGCAACAAAATTCAACAAAAGACAACAAAAGTCAACAAAAAAGAAACAAAAGTTAAAAAAAAGTCAACAAAACCCAGTGAAACTCTAAATCCGGGTGTGTTTCTGTAGTGGAAGGTGAAAGGTGGTGGAAGGAGCGAGCACAGATATTTATAGAAACACTTTTATCTGTGGGTGTGAGGAGGGAGTCGTGAGGTTAAAATTTGATTTGTGTTTGAATTATTGAAACATTCGTGATCGAAAATGAATCCTGATACAGCGCAGAGGGTTTAGACACGACTCCTCATTTCACTAAAACTCGGTCAACATTAGATTGAAGATTTCACTAAAAATCTTTTTAAAAATTTTCCTTTTTTTGGTAAAAAATTTCACTTCCTAGTCCCAGTTTAGTCCTGATTCAGTCCTGGCTTAGTTCTGATCCTGGTTGACTAGTTTACCCTGCTTTAGTCCATATTTAGACCTGGTTTAGTTCTGTTTTAGTCCATGTTTAGACCTGGTTTAGTTCTGTTTTAGTTCATGTTTAGACCTGGTTTAGTTCTGTTTTAGTTCATGTTTAGACCTGGTTTAGTCCACATTTAGACCTGGTTTAGTTCTGTTTTAGTCCATGTTTAGACCTGGTTTAGTTCTGTTTTAGTCCATGCTTAGACCTGGTTTAGTCCATGTTTAGACCTGGTTTAGTTCTGTTTTAGTCCATGTTTAGACCTGGTTTAGTTCTGTTGTTTAGTCCATGTTTAGACCTGGTTTAGTCCATGTTTAGACCTGGTTTAGTTCTGTTCTAGTCCATATTTAGTTCTGTTTTAGTCCATGTTTAGACCTGGTTTAGTCCATGTTTAGACCTGGTTTAGTTTAGTTTTAGTCCATATTTAGACCTGGTTTAGTTCTGTTTTAGTCCATATTTAGACCTGGTTTAGTTCTGTTTTAGTCCATATTTAGACCTGGTTTAGTTCTGTTTTAGTCCATGTTTAGACCTGGTTTAGTTCTGTTTTAGTCCATATTTAGTTCTGTTTTAGTCCATGTTTAGACCTGGTTTAGTCCATGTTTAGACCTGGTTTAGTTCTGTTTTAGTCCATATTTAGACCTGGTTTAGTTCTGTTTTAGTCCAGTGTTTTAGTCTCTTTGGAGGGTGTAATTATTCTAACATTAGCCCAGCCTTAAGACGACTCTCTCTCCACATCTTCGTCTCTGATCGAGGGCTTAACGCCGCTCTCCTCCTCCTCCCCCTGCGCCCAAGGTCAGACAGATGAGGAATCAGGAAGAGGGATGGAGCTGTTGTCAGGGAAACAGGCTGGAGTCGGTCGCCGTGGAAACAGGAGGCGGGGGAGGAGGAGGAGGAGGAGGTGATGTGGTGAATCATGAACAGAGCAGAGTCACACCAGCAGCAGACATGCAAAATATATCAACTACAAGACCTGGATTAGACCTGGTTTAGACCCATTTTAGACCAAATTTAGATCTGGTTTAGACCTGGTTTAGACCTAATTTAGACCTGGTTTAGACCAATTTTAGACCAAATTTAGATCTGGTTTAGACCTGGTTTAGACCTAGTTTAGACCTTGTTTACATCCAGTTTAGACCAAATTTAGACCTGGTTTAGACCCAGTTTATACCAATTTTAGACCTGGTTTAGACCTGGTTCAGACCAAATTTAGACCTGGTTTAGACCCAGTTTAGACCTAGTTTAGACTCGGTTTAGACCAAATTTAGATCTGGTTTAGACCTGGTTTATACTAATTTAAATTGACATGTAATTTTGATGGAGGATTAATATAAAAATTGTGTCACTATTCACTAATTTGCATAAAAAAACATCTGTTTATTGTAAGTTTTTTATTTTAATTTTTTATTCCAGAGGGACTGTTCTGTCTGGGGCTTTGTTAGACTTTAATCTGAGTTGTTTTTACACAATCTGACCACAAAGAACTGACTTGGTTGGAATTACAACAGATGAGCTGATTTGTGCTGTTAAACAAGTCTCAAAACAAGATGAAAACAAAATACATTTTATTTTATAAAAATAAACACTTACATATAAAGTTTTGTAGTTCTTTGTAGTGTTTGTAGTTTTTGGCACATACTCGCTCCTGTGTCTGTACGTAACATTTATAAACTAGAAAAGCAGTCAGACAGCGCAGACTCCACCAAGGACTACAGTCCCCCTCATATTAATTGGTGTTTTCCATAAATATTTGTCTCGTATCTTTCAATTTGGAATATGAAAGAGGATCCCATTGTCCATCCCTGAGTCAAATTTCATGGGGTTTGGTTAATAATTAATCGAGATATTGAGAAACTAAATTTTTGGCCCCATTTACCACAATGTTAACTAAAATTTCAAAGTGATCCAGAATCCAGGATTTCTTCCGGATCACCCCCAAAATGAAATCAGTTCTTCCTTTTCACATTTCCAACAAATCCTGAAAATTTCATCAAAATCGGTCCATAACTTTTTGAGTTATGTTGCTAACAGACAAACAAACAAACAAACAAACAAACAGACAAACAGACAAACGCCGGCAAAAACATAACCTCCTTGGCAGAGGTAATAAAGTTTTGTAGTTCTCAGTAGTGTTTTGTCATTTTTAGCACAAAGTCCTGTGTCTGTTCATAACATTTATAAATAAAGTTTTGTAGTTCTCTGTAGTGTTTTGTAGTTTTACGTACTCGCTCCTGTGTGTGTTCATAACATTTATAAATAAAGTTTTGTAGTTCCATGTAGTGTTTTGTAGTTTTTGTACATAATCGCTCCTGTGTTTGTTCATAACATTTATAAATAAAGTTTTGTAGTTCCATGTAGTGTTTTGTAGTTTTACGTACTCGCTCCTGCGTCTGTTCACAACATTTATAAATAAAGTTTTGTAGTTCCATGTAGTGTTTTGTAGTTTTTGTACATAATCGCTCCTGTGTTTGTTCATAACATTTATAAATAAAGTTTTGTAGTTCCATGTAGTGTTTTGTAGTTTTACGTACTCACTCCTGCGTCTGCTCAGAACATTTATAAATAAAGTTTTGTAGTTCTCTGTAG